TTACACGGGCGCAGAGGGGCCGGGAGCCCGGACGCCTGGGCTCTCTGGGAGGGGAGCGGGGGGCTGGGGACCCGGGCCCCAGCGCTCCCCACGGACCCCACTGTGCCCACCCACCCGCTCGTGCGCCGCGTGCGACGCCAGGGCCCCGTGCGATGGCTTGGGGGGCAGGGCAGGCAGAGCTGAGGGCTCAAGGGCGTCGCGCGCCTGCTCGTGCGAGGGATGGAGGGGGTGTGCAAGGCACCTGTCACGGGGCCACAGCTCGCACCAGGGAGAACCCAGGGGTCCGGGCCGCCTGCTGCATGTGCTCCGCCGTGCTCCCCTTCCCCGGGCTGGTGTCGGGGCCAGGGGAGCCCGACCCGGGGAGAGCCCGGGGGTCTGGGGTCCCCCCCCCCAGCCCTGGGGAGAGCCCGGGGGTCCAGGGTCCCCTCCCCAGCCCTGGGGAGACCCCGGGGGTCCCCCTCTCCCCCTCCCAGCCCTGGGGAGACCCTGGGGGTCCGGGGTCTTGGGGGCTGGTCATACAGCCTATCCCTGCCCCCTGCCCCCCCGGAGCTACCATAATTCTGCTGACAAAGCGCATGCCCAAAACTCTGAGGTACCGTAATGCTCTTTGTAAAGCACCTGCCGCAACAGCCTGGGGCCATGCTGTCTCCAGGTGTTACCATAATTCTAGTAAGAAAGCGCAGGAAAATCCATCAAGCCTCTCCACAACCCCCACCCGTCCTTTTTTTCTTTTTCCCTTTCTGGGATCTACCGTAATCCACTGAATAACTGGACACACCAGGGAGACCCTGATGATGCCAGGCCAGGGGGTACCATCGGTCTACCATAATGCTACTAATAAATGGTAAGCACTCACATTTCCATGTCCTCCCCCCCAGGTCTCAGCTGTCTTTGGGAGTTACCGTAATACCACTAACGACACCCCCATCTCCAACTGGCAAGTGCTACCACCAGGCTGTTAATACAATGCATGCCGTACCAGACACCACCCCACCTCACCGTACCATAAGTGCTCCTTATACAGTGCACGCCACACGGGGGACCCCAGTCTCAGCGTGGGTTATGAGGGGGGTGGGGGGTCCATCAAGGGGCTCCCATAACGTCACTAATAAAGTGCACGCCATAACAGAGACCCTTACCCCAGTCTGGCCAGCAGGGTATGGGCGCTACCATAACACCACTAATAAAGTGCACTCTGTAATACAGACCCCGATTCGGGCCTGGGGGTGCTACCATAATGACTCTAATAAGGTGCACTCCACGACACGGACCCTGGCCCCAAGCTGAGTATATGATTGTTACCGTAATAGCACTAATAGACAGCATTACAAAATGGAGACCCCCGATGGCAGCAGTGGGGGAGGGGGTGCTGGCGATTACCGTAATGCTACTGAGGAAGCACAGCTGGAAGCAGGCCAGGCGCCAAGGCAGGGAAGGGCCCGCGGGGCTGACGGGTGTGACAGATGCTGTGCATGGCTCCAGTGGTGGGGGAGGAAGGGGGGGCTGGCATCGATGGGAGCCTAATAGCTCTAATTAGGCAGAGATGCTGGCAGCCAGCAGGGACTCAGTGTGACCCAGTGCCAGCCCTCGTGAGCATCACTGGGAGACAGGGCTGCAGCTCCCAGCTCCCCTGCCCCCACTGCCCTCCCAGAGCTGGAGAGAGCCCAGGTGTCCGGGCTGCCAGGCCCCTGCTCTAACCCCCAAAGCGGAGGCCAGGCCACCCCCCGTGGGGGGGCAGGGCGGGCAGCCTGTCAGCCCAGGTTAGCCTGCTGGGGCTGGGATGAGCTGACAAGAGGAGACCGTGCCAGGGCCTCCGGAGGCACAGGCGGGGATGGGGAGAGCGGTTGGGAGCTGAGCAGAATCGGGGTGGGAAAGGACCCCCAACGCTCACCCTGCAGGAGCCCCACAATGGTGGTTGGTGCATGTGCACATGCACGCGTGTGCTCTCTGGCGTGCGTTGCTCCCTCTGCAATTGTGCAAACATGTTGCACAGGAGGTGTCTGAGCCTGGGGGGGGGGTTGAGCTGGGGCTGCCCTGTGCAGGGGTGTATGTGCGACTGTGCCTGTGCAACCCCACTGCACTAGTGCCTGGCGCATGTGAAGCATTGGTGCGATTGCACAAGGACCTGACTGGGCATGACGGGGTGCATGTAAGCTCAGGCCGCTGCAAGGGGACTACAGGGCTGCAGATGCTCCACGCCCTCCTGGCTCAGGTATGGGGGGTCTGGGCCCAGTGACCCCCCAGCACCTGGGGCCCAGCTGAGCTGAGCCTCTGGGAAGGTGTCAGGTGGGGGGCAGGAAAGGGGAGGGGCCAGGCTGCACACACTGGTGGGGGGGGGGGTAGGAGGGAGGTCAGTTCTTAGCTTCCAGCCCCGGAGTGAAAGGGGGGTGGGATCCAGCTGCTCCCCTGGCACTTGAGGCAATGGGAGAACCCAGGAGTTCAGGTCCCAGCCCCACCCCAGGACCCCCCATACCCTCAGCTGGGCAGGGAGAACCCAGGTGTCCAGGCTCCCCTCCCGGCACTGTAGTGAACCCCCGGGTCCTGCTCTCCCCTCCCAGCGCTGAGGGGAGCCCCGGTGTGTGGTCTCCCAGCCCTGCCCCCCCGGGGAGCCCTGGCATCCAGGCGGGTGCTTACGATGTGCAGCTGGAGGTAGTCGCCGAGGCCGGAGGCGCTGTCGACCCGCACGAGCACGGCGCTCTTCTGGTGCGTGCTGAAGCCCACGGCCAGGCGGTCGGCGCGTGTGCTGGGCCGGTCGTTGGGCGGCCACGTGTAGGTGATGAGCGCACCGCCCTTCCCGAAGATGTACGTCGTGCCGGCTGCGGGGACAGAGCGTGTCAGGACCAAAAGCCAGGCGTCCAGGCTCCCGGCGCCCCCCAGCCCCACTGCCCCCAAAGCTGCAGAGGACGCGGGCATCCGGGCTCTCAGCCCTGGCTCCCCTCAAGACGGCCTGCAGCCCCCTTGCCTGCAGCTCTGGGGGCAACGGTCTAGTCCAGGCTCCTAACGAACCCTGGGCTAACGTGCCAGCCAGGCCCAGGTGCCTGCCATAGAGACCACCTCCTTCCAAGCCTGGGCTGAAAGAGACCCTCCTCTGCCAGAGACCCCCAGCACTGCCCCCGCCCGTCAGAGCCCAAGCAATCTCCTGGGGCACCAATTAGCACTTAATGAGCCGAACAGCGGGTATGGAGGGAGCCGACCCTGGGCACAATGAGCTGTGTAAATGCGCGTGTGCGCGCGCACAGGTACATGCATCTCAGCCCCAAGACATGCACGCTTAGGTGCACACGGGCTAACATGTGTAGGTACATGCCCCTCCAGCCTCTGAGACGCGCACACGTGCACACACAGGCGGAGGGGCACGGGGGTCAGGACACACATACACAGATTCACACATGCCCCCAGCCCCACTCCCCTCCCACAGCTGGGAGCAAACCCAGGCGTCCGGGCTCCCAGCCCCCCTGCTCTGACCCCCCAGCCCCACTCCTCTCCCAGAGCTGGAGAGATCCCAGGCGTCCGGGCTCGCAGCCCTGCAACAAGAGACGGTGGGGCTTGGCCGTGACCCCCACCCCACCCAGCGCCCTCCCACGGCGCCAGCAGCCGTGGGCTGTTGGCAATCGATGAGCAAGAGACGGTGACAAACGCCACAGGCCGAGCGGGGAGACAGGCCCATCGCTCCGCGGCGCTGTGGCCACCCGGACGCCCCCGCCCTGGACACGTGGCGGCATTGGGGGACGTCGGGGCTGTAGGCAGCAGAGACACCCTACAATAACACGCAGCCCCCGGTGGGCGCCTGGGCCGATATCCTTGATGAGCAGTGGGCCAACGATAACGTGTCCGGAGCAAGGAGAGAAGCCCGGTGTCCAGGCCCCCAGCCCCCTGCTCTCACCCCCTTGAGCTGGGGCAGAGCCCAGGCGTCCGGGCGCCGCCCCACCCCTTCCTGTCAGCGCCTCCCATGGCCGGGGGCTAATTCATATTTAATGCCCACGCCGCAGCCCCCCGCTTCACCCCCCCCTCGATCGATCGCCATTAGCAGCTGCGCTTCGCCAGCGCCGGCCCATGCACGGCCTGGGGTGGAGGGGACCGATAAACTGGGCCAGTATCCGGGGCTGGGCAAGAGCCCAGGCGTCCGGGCTCCCCACATCCTCCCTCTTCCAAACCACCCGCCCCCACCCAGGTGTCCTTGCTCCCAGCCCCCGCCTTCGCTCTGACTCCTCATCTCACTGAGCAGGGCAGGAGATGACCCAGGCATCCAGGGTCTCAGCCCCCCTGCTCTCACCTGCCCGCCACCTGGTGCAGAACCCAGGTGTCCAGGCCCCAGCACCAGGAGCCCAGGAGGACAGGGATTGCAGGGGGAGGCAGGGAGACAGAGCCCTGCATGGCTGTGGCTGGCTCTGGGAGTGGGGGTCAGGGCCGGGGATCCAGGTCTGTGCTGCGGCTGGCTCTGGGGTGGGCTGTGCCGGCAGTCAAGTAGAGCAGATGCAGCCAGCTCTGGGGTGGGGCAGGGACTGGGGGTACAAAGCCCGGCACTGGGGTGCAGCCAGCTCTGGGGTGGGGGGTGTCAGTGGCTGAGTACAACAGAGATGCAGCAGCCTCTGGGGTGGGGCCTTGGGTCCTGGGGATGTGGGGCTGAAATGCGGCTGGCTCTGGGGTGGGACATGCCAGCAGCCAAACAGAACAGACACAGCCGACTCTGGGGGGGTCGGGGCCCAGATCTGGGGTGTGGGCAGTTTGGGGGCCACGAATCCCATTCAGTGGCATCTTTGGCACTGTCGGGTTTCAGGGCCCCAAGAACTGGTGCTGTTGTGTGTGCACAGATGCACACAGGCATGCACTGACATAGTGACATCGCTGAGTGTGCCTACCCCCCTCCAGCTCATAACTGTGTGCACACACACACGCACACAAAAACGCGCGTGCAGAAGCACACCCATGCACATCTATGCCCAGTCCCCCTGTGTGTCCTGGGTCCCCCCATTAATTCCAGACCCCCAAATTCTCACCCTCTCTGTGTCTCACAATGGCCCCACCTTGCACACATGTGTATGTGCACACCCCACACGCATGCCCACTCCCTGGTGCCAGAGCCCGGCCACTCCCCTCGGCTTCCTTGCGTGTGACGCTCATAACGAGGCGAATTAAGTCATTAGCAGGTAATGGCCCTGTGGGCGCTAATGACTCGCCCCCCCAGCCTGGGGATTCCCCCCCTACACACACACCAGCTGCACCAATACACATGCGTGTGCAATGCTCACTCACACCCCTCACATGGGGAGGGAGAAGCTGGGGAGGGGGCTGCACCCCCAGCCCCTCCTTCCCCCCCATTCTCATTCCCCCCACGGATGAGCGGGGGCCTGAGGTGGGAACAGGGCTGGGGGCCCGGACGCCTGGGTTCCCTCCAGCCCTGGGCGGGCAGCGGGGGCTGGTGGGTGAGAGCGGGGGGCCGGGAGCCCGCACACCTGGGTTCTCTCCTCGGAGGCAGGATTCCTGCCTTCCCGAAACGCCGGAGATGAACCTGGCTCAGCTGGGCGAGATGGAGGTGCCTGTGCAGGACACCTGAGTCCCCGTCATCCCCAGCCCTCTGCTCTGACCCCCCAGCCCCACTCCCCGCCCAGAGCTGGAGGGAACCCAGGTGTCCGGGGCCGCCCCGCTCTCACCCCCAGGCCCCACTCCCCTCCGACATCAGGGAAAGGATGGGTGGAGCGATGCGGGGGTGGATGGATGAATGAATCAATGGTGGGGACGGGTAGAGGTGGCACACAGCTGGACGGACAGATCTGCCCTAGAGTGCGGCTGTACATGTGGGGGTGGACACGTGGACAGACACAGGCACATAGGGGTAGGGGGGCAGGGTGGTCGGGGCAGGAGCTGGAGGAATACAGGGGGCACGGACAGACAGACCCCTGCCTGGGGGTGGGAGATAGATAGATAGGATGGATGATACATTGATAGATACACAGATAAATAGATGATATATATATAGACAGAGAGATAGATGGATGATATATAGATACCTAGATGATACATATAGATGGATGGATGATAGATAGGCGGATGGATGATGGATGGGATGGATGGATGCATGATAGATAAATAGATAGGTGGATAAATGTATAGACAGACACACGGACAGGTAGAGAGACAGGTGGAGGGACGGACAGACAGATGCACAGGGACGTGGCAGCTAGCGCGCTGCATGGACAGAGAGGCAGACGGGGGGTGGATGGACAGACAGGTGCACAGGCGGATGGCAGACAGGCAGGGGTTGCGGGGCCGCTGGACGTATGGACAGACAGGTGGGCAGATGGGAGGGGGTTGCCTGGACAGACAGCTGGACAGATGGCCGGGGGGTGAGGATGAAGCGGATGGACAGACAGACGGGTGGGGAGGCACATGCAAGGGGCTGGGGTGGATCGGGACCGCCGGAGCCCGGGGCGCACGGGGCCGGACACACGGACGCGGGAGGCTCCCCCCTTCCCCCCACAGCTCTGAACACGGCTCTAACGAGCCCCAGAGCTCCGGCGCCGCGCACCCGATCCCTGCCGTTGCCATGGCAACCCTAATACCCAGCGCCTCCCCCCCTGGACGCGCTCGCCCTCCAAATGAGCGCGCATGGGGGGGGGGGTTAACCTCTCATGTGCTGCAGCCAGTGCTGCACCCCCCGGCTTGGGGCTGGATCGGGGCCCTGTCCCCAGTGACCGCGGCCCGGATTTCCGCCTCATCCGTCCCCAGCGGGACAGCCAGCCCAGCCCCCCCACCCCGCTCCAGGGCCCAGCCAGGACTCCTGGGTTTTCCCAGGCCCCTCAGGACTTTGAGGCTGGTGTCTGGCACATGTCAGCGGGGGCAATTTTGGCCCCTGGATGGGTGGATGGAAGGGCAGATGGATGGACAGACATCCCCCAGCCCCAACAGATGGGTTCGAGGACAGGGGGTGGGAGAGCGCGAGGGACACTCAGGGCCTGCAGAGATCAGTGGGGGAGAGAAGGACAGAGACAGGGGGTCCGGGCGGACAGATGGACACAGTGAAAGGGGGCGAGGCACAGAGATGGGGGATAGGCAGAGGATGGACAGAGAGACAGACAGGGAGACGGTCGGTGGAGGGATGGGCTGGTAGGTGAAAGGAAATAGGCAGATAAGTAGGTTCCTAGATAGATAGATAGATAGATAAGTAGGTAGGTCGGTCAGTAGATAGATAGGTAGACAGACAGATGTGTAGATGAAAAACAGAGGATAGATGAATAGAATAATCAAAGATAGATAGATAGATGCATGGATGGAGGGCTGAACAAATAGATGATAGGTGAATGTATCGATCGATCAACGGCAGAGAGACGGATGGATGGAGAGGGACGGATGGACGGATGAAGGTGGCGCGATAGAGAGATACGCAGCTGATGTGTCGAGGGATGGACAGGGGAAGAGGAGGGAGAGAACAGGGCGGACAGACGGATGGAGAGGCGGCACAGGCCCCGTGCGGGGGCAGAGGCGGGGGCAGGGTGTGTGGGGAAGAATGGACCCACAGACAGACGGGCGGAGGCAGGGAGGGAGGGATGGATGGATGGGTGGATAGGTGGGGGTGGACGGACAGACGAGCGGATGGGCAGATGACCGAGGGCACCCTGGGTGCAGGCCAGCCCAGGATGCCTCACCGTACGGCTGCAGAGGGCAGGGGGGTGTCTCAGCCTGGGGGTGCCCCAGGGGCTCTGTCCAGGGGGTGCTGGGGTGGCCCCAGCCCTGGGCCAGACCCATCCGGCGCTTCCCTGGTGCCAGAGCCAGGCATGGAAGCCGGAGTCCGGGCCCTGCTCCCCGTCGTGCCTCCCCC